ATCCAACTGACTGCAGTTTCTGCTCACACTGCTGAAATCATGTGTCACTGTTTAAGTTTCACAGTTGTACTGTGAGTATCTGTAAATTAAGAAATCAACAGGAGACACTGTGGTGCAGTGTGTGGTAAAATCATCACATTCATGTACGAATGAACACAATTCTTTTCTGCAGGCTTGTTCTCTCATTCCTTATCTGCAGTTGCAGTATCCTGTTTTACTACTTTAACTTCATCCTCACACCTCATTATATTGGACCGCCTGCACTCTGCGCTTTTGTGAATAAGAATGGTCAAAAGACATTTTACACGCCCCCTTTCTGTGACGCGCTGAGAGCCTTAAAGGCTTTATATTTTTGATCCAGTAGATGTCGCCCTTGAGCACCAGCATGAAATCAAAACAAACGGCTGTTTGGCCACACCTCCTCCATAATGAAGCCTCCCTCTCTACTCCAGCAACACACCTCCGAGTCCAACCCCCCTCAACTCGTGTTCGCACGAAGGAGTCAAGCTCCAGCGGTGGATAACATTTCCCTTGTAAAAGCTTTCTTACGGAAAAATGTCAAGTGACAAGGTAAGTAAGACGTTGTTAGTAATGTCATTGTTAAAGCGTTATTTTTTATATCCCGAAGATATGCACCTGTGTTAGGTGCTATTTTTTGTATTCTACTCCAGAGTAGGCGATGTAAGTAAGTAAGTAATTTTTAGCTTGCAGTTTGCACTGCTACTGCTAGTTAGCCATCTTTTACCATTAGAATAATTTTGGTGATTGTAAAATGTTAGAAAACAGCAATGAATAAGTGTTTTCACTTGAATCCCTCTGAATGTTTGCCGTTTCTTTACAGTCGGATGTCGGTATGGCTGCTGAAGCAGGCTGCAGCGACTGGCTACCGTCGACGAGAACTTCAGGGAGGAGTTATTATATATTTTGTTTTTCCTCTTAAATAGTTCTCCTGTCTTTAATAGGAAAACAGAAAACATGATCAGCTACTTTTTTTAAAAACAAACTTCAGAACCTGAAATTTTGCAGAACCTGAGGACAGATCTGATTTCAGGTCTGAAGCATAAACATCACAGTAAAATTCATTATACTTTACATTTAACTCCATGATTGTTTTTCTTTATTACAGAAGATGCTCTCAGATTCAGATCCATCAGCAACCCCTGACAACATGGAGGACTCGTCCCCTGAGCGTTTCCTGTCCTCTCTCGATGGAGTTCTTCTCTTCAGTTATTAACTCTTGAAATCAGCAGCACAACATGCCAGACTGTTTGACAAGTCTGTGATTGAATAAATGAAAATGGAATCTCATACGTATCTTGCTATGCTTATTGGCTTTAAATGTTTAATATTAAATAAGTTTGAAGGCCATTTATCTCAGACGAGCCCGGCTGTGTCAAGCTGAGCTCGTCTGTTAGCTTTGCTGTTGTCTTAGCTGTTGTTGGTCAAGAATAAATGAATGTCAGTTCAAGGCCTTTTCAAATGTGAGCTATAAACTTAACTGCTAAATGATTTTACTGTGAGAGTTGTATAGGTTTTTTTTGGTTTGTTTGAAAAGCCACAGTTCATGAGATTTTTGGGTTTGACAAAACGTTGTAGTGCTCCAGTTAATCAGAGACAGTCATATCAGATTTTTAAAAAGTTTATTTAAACATTTTATGAAAGAAATCTTCACTAAACAACCCCTGGCTTCATTAACCATGTGGAAAATAAGTAAGGGAGACCATTAGGTCAAACTGCTGGGACATAGGAGAAAGTATTAAAAGTAATTTAACAAAGAAATCCCAAGAAAAATCTAATAAAGTAAAGAGATCCTGGATGATTGTTTGACTGTTAAAATATGATGGAAAAGCAAATCCAACACAACCCTCCAGCATCTGGCCTTTCAAACACATGGCAACATCATGGAAAGAAAAATAGCACCATTGAATATTGACCAGGATCTCTGTGTTTTATCTGAGGATGACTGTGGTAGCCTTCTCACTGTTCACTGTCCACCTTCTTCAGACGTCGATCAGCTCCTCTGGGTGATGGCAGAGAGGACTCTTCATCTGGGAGAGCTGCTGGTGTAAGGTCATTTCTACCACAGTGGATGAGCAGGGCATCTGGCACAGGTGAAAAAAGGAGGAGGTTCCTTCAAACTATGTGACCCCAGCCTGACCTCTGTAACAGGTGTGCAGATGAAGGTTGAAATGAGTCATTTTTAAGTTCTGTTGATTGTAAAATGGAAAAGAAAACATCACCTTTCTATTTAACATTTAGCTGGTGTATGACTCAGTGTGATTTTTATTTTTAGAAGACTGTATTGTTAACAATAGCTTGTTTTGACAATACTCTTATGAAACTTCAAAACAATCACAGGATATAAACTTTTAACAGATGATTTTAACTTACACTTCACCTCTGTGGAAGATGTCAGACCAGCTGCTTTTATCTCTTCTTTGCCTAAATGAAAATACAAAAAACAATTGATTTACTGTTCATTTAAATATATTAGAAAAGCAGACATAAATCACATTGCAGACTATCACTTTCTAACAAAATACAACATATCTTACCACCTGTAGCCTACGGTCTGTGGTGCTAACCTAGATTAAATATAGAACGATTTAGGCAAAAACAGAGGACCCAGCAGCCCACATATTTTCAATAATGATCAAAATAGCTTTTTTTTTTTTTTAAAACACAGCGTTTAAATATTAGACTTTGAATACGGCGGTTGGTTGTACTTGCACATTTCTTCATAAGACTCGTAGACCGGCAGAACGCTCTCTAATCTCAAACCGGCGCACAGTGTTAAAACATTTGGACATTCTGTCATGGACCGAGCAGTCAAGGCAAACACAGAAACACAGGTTGAAAGTTCAAAACTCAGGCCTCTTTATTTAAAAAATGTGTTTAATAAAAGCATAAAACAGTTAATCGGGTAGGTTAATCAAAGTAAAGGAATTCTTAAAAGAGTTAAAAAAAACCCACAACTCTACTGGTATATAATGTTAACTGAACAGGATATGAACTCAACTAAAAGAACAAATACAGATCTTGTTCTGTTGAGTTTAATGGTAGTGGGCATCCATATGTGTTGCATGACCGCCACCGTCTGGATTGTCTTAGTTCCATTCGTGCAAATATATACAGTGTCCACCCACAGTGATCCATTTCCCTATTAGGTCCCTCTCTATGTGCCAGGCCTTCATTAAGTGTTATATACCTATAGAACAAAATGAGAACTGAGACGGGTATTTAAACCAGCTGACCAAACCAAAAGTAGCACACAGGGGAGGACTACACATAGAATAACTAAAAGTTAACACCAAGTATCCCCCCCATGCTGTCAGAGCACTTGGTGTGGTCCTCTTTTTGAAAGTCAGGCTCCACCCTCGGCCTCATCTTTTGTCCAAACCAGGAAGTAGAGCACATCAGTCAGGTCAAAAGCAAAGAGAAAATAATTAATCAAGACAACAAAAAATGATGACATAAATTCATTGAGTGAACTTAGATTAAAAGTTATTATAAACAAATCACACATACCAGAGGAGTTCTCCAACAGATTATGAACCAGACTTTGAAAAGCGAATGTCTCTGAATTAGAAACAAAAGCAAACCAGAGCATCAGTGAGAAGATTAACATTTTCTTTTAAGGTGTTTTTAAAGCCTGTTTCCGCTGCCGGCAGGTTGCAGGTCAGATAACCACGTAGATGATTTACAGATCAAAAGAGCCACAAAATGAAGGTTACTTATTAGGAGCTTTAATTGTCTCACATCAGGCATCTATATGAAACTGTAAGCTGAGAGTTTCAGGGAAAGTCACAATGTGTTAGCTTGTTTTAAGGGTGAATTTTCTCATCTGACAAGGCTTTACTTAATCATAGTTTCACTTCTAAGACTCATACTTGAGACAGAGGAAGCCCATGTGTAACTTCAAACAGAATCTGGCTGTGCATGTCTCATACTGATGCCAGGAATTATGTACTTTATATCTTACTCTTTTATATCTGTAAATTGTAAATAAAGATTAGACCGCCTCACGTTCCTTAAAGCATCGAGAGATGTGCAAAAATTAGCGTTTCTCAGTCTTATATGACAGTGTTTCTGAGACGTGGAGCTGCTGGGGGTTGAGTATCTAGAGAGGCCAATATTCAAAATCTAAATATCACCAAATATATGCCAATACAGATCCATAAACAGGGTTAGAAGAAGTCTGCCTGCCATAACCGGAGGAGGCAGAAGAACAAAAATAATGAAATAGAGTAGAGATACGTTTGTAAAGAGACTAGAGAGGTAGAAGGATATTACTCATGGCAGTTTCTGTGCAGAGTTTTCTGAATATCATTATATTCTGGAGATAATTAGGGTGCTGGTGGCCTAGTGGTTAGAGGGGGCGGCCTGGGTTCGAATCCAAGCTGTGTCTCCTTTCCTGCAAGTCAATCCCCACTCTCTCTCTCTCTACCAGAACTGTGTTTATGTTATTATGCGCGCACAGTGTTGCAAAAAAAAAGAATACATTTGAATGATCAATAATTAACCTTTGCATAAAGAGCCCGTTTTGAAAATATGAACAGTCGATGGTTCAAACAGTTTTGGTAAAATGTGATCGCCTGCACTGCCTGGAAACTTTTGACAGCTTTTTAAGGACGGACTTGTTTACTTCCTCCAAACGTGTGTTTTCAGAACAACATCTACTGGAAACTTAATGCCAACAGGCTGTTTTTCTCCTTCCTCTTCCATCCTCCATCATTTGAAGTTGGCAGGTGTTATTTTTTGGTAAACACCAAAATCCTCAACACCTGTTGCCAGAAGCGTCTCCTATCTGCCAAAACCAACCCTGCTCTAACCGACACACTGCCCCCCCCCCGCCAGGATAACACATTCAAACACACTGCGAGATAAACAACAGTGACTTCACCAAAGTGTTTTTCTTTTCCTGGATGGAAGAGAACACAAAGTTCAAGTAATTCCTAGAGGTGCAGAAACACTTCAGTTGTAGCTCACTGAGTAAAAAGATGTTCCACTCTCCCATTGTGCCTCGAGTCAGGAAAAGGTCGAGAGCGGCAGAAGTGGGCATCCCCGGGCGTGAGGAGGTGAAGTTTGAGGATGTCAGACTGTTCCTGGTGGAGAGGAAAATGGGCCGCAGCAGGAGAAGCTTTCTGACACAGCTGGCCAGGTCGAAGGGCTTTATCGTGGAAGACGTCCTCAGGTTGGAAAAAAAGAAAAAGCTTATTTTTTTGTTGATCTCTGATGCAGCGGGTTTAAAAGCTTCTCTGAATGTGGAGCAAAGAGGACATGAATACAGAGCAGGGGGGTTGTTTGACCTTGGCATAGGCCTTCAAGACTTTAAATGTTACTTGGAAAATTGAAGGTCACACAACACCTGGTTGGCCTGATTGAATTGTTTGTTCAGTGTAACCAACTCGGCAACAATCATCACTGTCAGGCGTTCTGAATTTGAGCCTGGTCCCAGTTCTTTTAATGTAATCAGAAATCAGAACTTGACCGGGAGCCAGCTCTTTTATTTGTTTTAGCAGCTTTACATGGCCTTGTTCTACTGCTCCAACCCCCTCTCCTTAACCCGACCTCTCAGGTCATCAGACCGGCTGCTCCTGGCTGTTCCTCGGTCGAGGCTAAAGGGAAAGGGCGCCTTGAATCTCTGGAATAGTCCACCTCTTAGCATTATGTGTTCCCCTTCTTTAGGCATTTTTATAACCAGATTGAAGACACACTTTTCTCACCATGCATTTCATTGTCCTTTCACCCCCTTGTTTTTAAACAAAATGGATTTGATTTGAACAGATTTTTTTATGCATCAAATCTAAAAACTGGTTGTTGAAAAGATACAAAGAATTCTGAAAATCAAATTACAATACCTTGTCTTGTTTTGGTTTTAATCTGAAGGAAAATAGAGAAGAGTTGAGATGCCTTAAGATACCTTGTTTTGTCTTATTTCTGGTCAAAATATCTCATTACACTTTTTATAAGCCACGTTCGAGTCCAGTTGAAATCTTATTTCAACTTCTAAAAAGCTAAAAAAAATTGTAATAAATTAAAATATGTGCAAATGCAGCGAGCACCAATTTCTAGTAGAGAGAACATCTAATTTCCAGACAATTCACATGTAACATTTTGCCATTTTAACTTACAGCTAGACATTTTAGATTTATTAAAATGTCTTACTTTCAGAACTTTACTTTTTACTGTTCTATTGTTGTTGATGTAGTTTCTAACAGTTTTCACATCTGTTATTGATATTCATCCGTGTACCCGGACCCTCAGACCTGACCCAGCAGTCATACAGGTCCAGGGTTCATTATGGTCCTATGTGTCCTGCTTTATTTATACGGTTAAGTCGAGTTACAGTTTTGCTCAATGAGCTCATTTATCTGGACTGGTGTCCTCGTCATGCACCGGGGGAGGATCCATTTATTGATTGAAGTTTGTCAGACTGTGCTACAGTAGATGGCTCATATGCCCCCTTTCAGCTGGTTACTATCGGACCTTCTTCTGGTTACGACACATACCAGACAGTCGACTGTTTGTTAGTCAAACAGTGAAAACATGGACAGCTTTACAGCTCTGTACACTTTATAGGTTCTCGCTTTAGCACTCGCCATGTTGACATTTTCCTTTTTTTCTTTTTGGCTTTCTTTCATGCATCTATGCTCTTCGACTTCTGGGTCCAAGCCCGCTACTGGAACTGTGGAGCATGTGCAGAACACCTCGGTCAGTTTGAGGCGTATACATGAAAGAGAAAGTAGATTACAGACTGCATTATGTTGCTGTGTTAGTCCAAATTTGACTTATTTTGATCTCAGTCGGACTTTCATGTTTAGATTGCATTCTTAGATCCATAACAGAAAAAACCCCATATTTTTTTGTATGTATAGGCACCGACAGTGATAGGTGATTTTGCTTTGAAATTGGGGTTAAAAGTAAGTATGAATAGCTGAGTAGCAAAAGACTGACTTTCTCTAATAATGAGTTAAAACCTTTAGAGAATCTGGATATAGACATCCGGCTCTTTAATTGGTAAAAAAAAAAAAGGTCAGGACATTATTGAAGAGATCAGCTCTCTGGTGAGATATTCAGTGTGACTTTGTATCATTCCCTTAAAAAACATGTTCCTTTCAGAAGAAGTTAAAATCCAATCAGCTAATTATAAGGCCTCTATTGTCTCATGAATACTTCATTAAAAAGGTTAGGGCATCCATCGTGTCTCTGCTACACCTTAGTGGATTTCCCTCCTGAGTTATAGCTCGCAGCTTCGACATAAACACGTTAAGTAAGAATAAGAAAAGGAGCTAACCCCGCTACATGGAGTCGGCAGTGACAAAACTAAAAACACTTACAGAAAAGGTAACAGAGCAAACACAAACTTTTTAATGAGTTTGGCCCAAGTTTGTTAAGTCTTACTTAAGGAACGACTTTCCTCACCAGGATGAATCATCTATTGTGCTGTAATTACGGAAGCAACATGCCTTCTTCCCTTTTTCTCTGCCTCTAATTGAAAGTATCTTTTAAATCCCAAACTGTGCACACAGCAGAGGCCCTCAGCCTGACACCCACAGAGCTTCAGAGCCGCTCTCCTTTGAGGCTACTGATCCTGTAAACGCAACCTCCTCGTTTTAAAGTCTGCTTTGTTGTAAGGGCAGGGCAGCTCCAAGTCAGACAATAGTGAGCAAGTGTGTGTGTGTGTGTGTGAGAGCATGTGCATGTGTATGTGTGTCCCTGCTTCTATATTTGCAAGAATCAGTTTCACCTTTAGAAATGTACAGCAAGGGAGGTTTTTCTACAACTTAACTTCCCTTAATGATGAACAGGGCTTAATGTCAGCATCGTATTTAGGTCAGTAAAGGTAGAGCTTGAGCTGAGAGAAATCTTCACAAGTGTGCGTGTGTGTGTGTGTGTGTGTGTGTGTGTGTGAGAGTGTGTGTGTGTGTGTGTGTGTGTGTGTGTTTAAATGCACATGCACACCAGCCGTGCACACCAGCTTGGCCATGGCAGCATTCCCAGAAACACAGCTTGAGCGCTCCTACAGTTACACCCTGCTTGATACAATTGTTTGAAACCAACGACAGGAAGTAGAGCGTGCACGCCTCAAACCGACATTAATTCTGCAAGCCAACAAAACTTATCAGCTGCAGCTTGATAACAGACACCTCCCAGTCCTTCACAACCTATAGGCACACTGCCTGGAGCCTGTGGTCAGACACACTGTGTGCTTTCCTCCGTGCAGAGAGAAATGTCTCTCACACACTCACACACTCCGACACATGACATATCACTCTCCATGCGTCCTTACTTCCAGTCTGATGCTCTCGAACATGGATCCACATATCGACATGTTTGTCCTGGCTGATTGATGAGCTGCAATGCATGCTCGTTCAAGTAAAAGTCAGATATTTGACGGGCATTCTCCCCTACCTGACCTCGTGCTGCAGCGCTTTGGGGACTAAGGGGCCGTTTATGAATTACTGTTTGAAGGGAAACTTCACCCACCAGTCTGAGCCGTACTCAACCCACTGCATCAATTAGAACAATGCTTCAAACCAGTGGCTTGACAAAAGGAGCAACCTCTGTTGACGACCACGTGGAGGTGCAAAAAACTGCAGTTCCTCGAGTGTCCACATGAGGATGGCTGCAAAAATCAAGGAATCCACATCAGGTCCCATATTAAAATCTCCATTTTACAGCAGAAGCAAACATGGTAACACTTTATTTTGATAGTCCGTCTGTTGACACTCAACAAGCTATCAGTAGATATTCAACATAATCAATCTGTCAACAAATGCTTAGTTACTAATGTCTACTAATAGTCTGTTGATAGTCATCTTTATATATGTTGACAATCAACAGATAGTCAACTACAAATTAGTAGCTTATCCATTGATAGTCAATTAATGTAATCTGTAGTTGAGTATCAACAGTCAGTCATTTGATGAGTGATACTGTTGACTTTCAACTGACAGATTGATTCAGAGTAGTTGAGTGTCAACTTACAAGAAGTTGACAATCTACAGATAGTTAGTTGAAAGTCTAATCAATAACCTGTTTAAAAGAATAAGAGAGTCGGAAGACAATCTTTTGTAAAATGTTGTAACAACTTAAAATGCACCTTATAGTCTACTGGCACTTAGTTGAATGTTTATAACTTGTCTGTTGACAAGTCTTGTTGAATATCAACTGACATACTGTTGACATGCAACTGACTATCTACTGATAGCTTGTTTAGTGTCAACAGACGGACTATCAAAATAAAGTGTTACCGCAAACATTTGTGCAGCATTGTTCAGGAAATGAAATTGTTTCAGTAGCTAGAGTATTTTTAATAACTCAAAAGACTTATACATGAATTTCTTAATAAGGGGTGTGGTCATGTTAACTGACAGGAAGGCACATTGTATGCATAGTGGCTAACTCCACCTCCTGTCTCTTACTAGATCAGCCAAAAGTTAGTTGAAAGAAGCATTTCCGACATTTCGACCACCATTGTTTGGCTTCAAGATGCCTCTTCAGAAACCAGTGGCTAATGTTACAGAGGCTTCATCATGCTGAATCGTGTCAGTGTTCATTTTCTGAGAAGTTCTGTGTAAATTGTTGATTTGATGCTTGATTTGATTTGAATGCATCCGTCAGGACTGATTGTGTCCACCTGTGCTGCTACTGCTGGTGAAGCAATTAGCCAATCAGAGGACAGCATCTGCCAACACATGCTTTAAAAACGACACGAGCCATTACTCTGGGCGCAGCTCTGTTCATTTTAAGCTCATCATCTGTGCCTGTTGTTGTCTTTGTCTATGTTTAGTACTCGTTTTATGTTGAACTGGGTCAGGCATTAGTTTAGTTCTCACACACACACACACACACACACACACACACACACAATCACATTAGCTTTTGTCTGTGTTTAGAAACACTAGCCTAGCTAGTGCTGGGTAGTGCTGTTCATATGTTGTCCGATTTGGTTAGTGTAGTAAGTTTTATTTTCATTTCTATACAACTTAGACTTGGTATGTTAAACCTAATTTAGAGCTCTTCTATTTTATTATGTTTTTGATTTGAGCAGCACTGGTTGGCCATTTCAGTTTGCCTCACTTTTTGTTATGTACCACAACTTTGCTTCTTTTGTGATAAATACCTTATAATATTAATGTTGCTTCCCTTTCTCCCCACGAGCTGGGTCTTAACAACTTATTTTTCTAACAGAAGGTGGAGACCATCTTTAGATAGTCAATACTTGCAATACAGACACATCTGTCACAGGGCACCTGCGGGGCAATCTTGCTTTACCACAGTACGGGGAGTGAGGCTGCCCCAAGTTGGCAAAACGCCTTTTTTTGGGTAGTTTTGGTGCTTAAAAATATTCAAACTTTAAACATTATAAAACACTTCTAACCAGACGCTTACGTAATGAACCAGAACTACATGTTTAGGTTTAGTGAAAGACGAAAGAAGGGCTTACATGTCGATCCTGACTGTTGTTTTACACAGCGGACACAAACAGAAGTCAAAACAGAAAATGATTTCTTTAAGATGAAAACCATCACGGTTATCTGATATACAGACTCATGCACACCACTTCATCATGTTGTTTATCTGGGATGTGACATCTTGGTTGATTAGGCGTGGAAGCAGCTCCTCTCCAGTGGGTTCAATAATAATCTAAAGTAATTTGATTAAGATATTAATTTATGATGATTAATTTACTACACTTACCATGTATGTCTCAGTGACGACGTCTCCTGAGAGGAACTGTCGGAGGAAGCAGATGAAACCTAGCCATGCTGTAACAATCTGCTCTGGACATCCTCCATGTTTTGATCAGCCCGTTGGCTTTCAAGCAGCAGGAAGAGGAGAGAAGCTGCTGACATGAACGAGGGCACAGAGACGACTCGAGAGAGTTCTCCTTATCAAAGCCTATTGACTTTATCCTGTCCTTGTGTCTGGGCTCTGTCCCACTGATTCTGGGAAGAACAAGCTGGTGCCGCTCATTTGCATGTCAATCTGCCGTTTTACATTCTGTGCAGCTATGCATAAAATAGAGAACCCACATTCAGGGCCTGGATTACATCTCTGCAAACATGGCATGAGCAGAAAGCGTTTTGTGATGTTTTGGGGAAATAAACCCTGAGAGCCAAATTTCTATCACTGCGGTTCGACAACAGTTTAGTGCATCTGAATTTAAGCTTGTGGAGATAATAGCTGTGTCCTTGGGTACCTCGAATGTGTCTTGGAAGGATTTTATTTTAAGCATGGACCCTCGGTGGCCGGACCGGTTTGCCAAGCAGATTAGTTTCGCCCGTGATTTGGCCAATTAGGCTTCAGCCTGAGCTCTGCCGGGACATCTCTTAAGGAGTCTTTCCACCGGTTTACCCACGCCAGGAGAGTGGAAGAGGAGGAGTGTGCTGAGGGTAATTAGGCACGGCTGGGCGCCCTGATTGGGTACGGTAGTTAGAGTCTGTGGCAGGAAGGGGGGGGAGGAGGCCTTGATAAAATGTCTGCTCAGAGAGTCTCGGCGGAGCAGTATAGAGGCACTGGTTCAGTTCTCAGACAGTGGAGGGAGGTGCTGAGGGTCTGTGTTGATTGTTGTTCAACCAGTGTTGATCTCCAAACAGCTCGAGGAAGACCACGGTACTGAGAGCTGAGCTGCATTTCAATAGATTCTCTTGAACCTCTCCAGAGGCTGAGGCCGTGACAGAGAAGTCATTTCTGCTCAATGAAGCTTTGAAGAAAATCGTTCAATCAAACCAGTCCAAGTGTAATGGGAGCTACACTAATTCATAAACAGGTCATCTTGCTAAAATCACACTCGGTTTGCAGACAAATAAATCATTTTGTGACACTAAACTAAAAGTTTGATTCACATTAAATGCTCACATTCTGAACGCCATCCATCTGGTCAATAAAATGTTGTCCTTGTTTATCTAGTGCACTAGGTGGTGCTGTAGCGAGCAACAAGGGTCCTAAAACTGTCCCAGAACAGTGGTCCTGAAACTGCCGCCTCTCTGCAGGCACATGCTATCCCTCTAGGCTGAGACGGTTTTTGTTTCCGCCAATGAAGTAGTGAAGGTAAATCTTTCAATCAGACAAGTCCAAGTCTACTGGGAGCTAACATGCTGTCAAAGCTTTAGTCTGTTTATTCCATTTAGGGAATTATAATTGGTTAATTGGCAAGTGAATAATGAACATACTGAGAAGTCAGTTTTGTTTAGTTGAAATATAGATTTGTCTTTGCTGTAGTTGCTTATTTACGCCACCAGAGGGAGTATCCCCCAAATAAACCAGCTAGCTAAAGTGTAAATTATGTAACAAGATGGCAGCCCTACAGGTGGTATTTTCTATTATCATTGGCTATTGTGGTTGAGCGAAATATGACTAGTTCTTAATGTTATTGTCATATTTATCTTTTCAGAGAATATATACATTTTTCTAATTGAGCTGTAGTTAAATTTTGAGTAATTTGAAATTAAAACAGTATTTCTGTTTTGGAAGCCCATCCATCATGATTATCATATTGGAAATGCTGACCTTTTCAAACTTTAGGTCAAGATAACAACAGGCATAGAGTTGGAGTTGAGGCAGAGTGTTGTCAAATAGTGCTACATGTGCTACCATGCAGCTCTGTTAAGTACAGGGAGAATATTGATCGGACTTTTCTCCCATCGAGAAATGGTTCCTCTAAAATCTTGAATAAAGATTTCTTAAAAGTGTATCAAAACAAAAGTCATGTTTCCTTAAAGTGCAAATGCATCGAGTGGTAGTGTTTTCAAAGTGATTTTGCTTGCAGGCTAGCTAGTTAGGTAGCAAACACGGATCTAATCAACAACCTTGTTAAGATGCAGTGAATGTAATTTATATTCACACAACACAAACACAACACAAACACAAAGATATTACAACACGTGTATTAACAGTAGAAGAAGCAGTATTATTTGGAATGTGGGATGTGTTGGGAAGTGTCTTGGAAAGTGGGAAAGAGGGCGATGCAGGAAGAAGGAGACGGATAGAGACAGTGCAGAGCAACAACAAAAACTGATATTAATTTTGTTTAATGAAGACGGAGAACAGCCTGCTGAACTAAACTCTCCTGTCTCTGCTTCTCCTGTGACACATAATTCATCTGCTTACATGTATGAGGCGGTTAACATTAGCTTAACGAGGAAGGCTTTAAACTTGGAAGTTCATCTGTGTTGTGTTCATAGACTTCTTTCTGAATAGATGAAGAAAGAAGTCAATGTCCATCGAGATCTCCCAAGTAGACAACCTGCATATTTTAAGTTGGTATAGATTTTGGCATTTTATAGAGAGGTGCATTAAATATTCTGATGAAACGATTTAAAGTGAGAGGGTCTTGGTACCAGAATTTCTATTAATAGATTCCCTATGTGTTTGAAGCCAGATCATGCTCTCTCCTCTCCTTGAGTTCTGTACGGATGGAATAAGATCTTAAACTGAATGGTGAACCCTCTGACAGCTCTTTTCTTCTCCTTCGACAGTGATGTGGTCACACATGTGGTGTCAGAGGACATTCACACTTCATCCCTGTGGACGTGGCTGAAGGAGTGTGACCTGAAAAATCTAACCCACATGCTGGTGCTGGACATCAGCTGGTTCACTGACAGCATGAGAGAGGGGAGACCTGTGGCCGTGGAGACCAAACATCTGATTCAGGTTGGTGAGAAATAGATGGAGAGAGAGTGAGCACTATAGGACATAAACAGACGGCATTTCATTCTGGATGTTGCAACAAAATAAATGCACAAGCAGTGTCACCGAAATACTGCAGTAATGTGTGAGTCGTGAACGAGTTAGCTGTAAGAGATGTCTCCTTTAAAGCTCCTTCCAAAATAATGTTTGAGTAAATCTTGGCACCCATGGTGGACAAAGTGATGCACCCTTTGAATCTTTGTGTAGTCAATGTTAACAGGTGGATTCTGCATCGTCACCTTGTATGCCTCCTACCTTCATGACAATAACCACTCTGTATAGTTTTTGCATGTGTTCAGTCAGTGAACCTTTCTGACATGCAAACTGGAAATCAATAATCACATAATTAATCAGACTTGTAGTCTTGTAATTAAAGGGCCAATCAGATGAGATGTGTAGTGAGTGAAATGATAAAGTGCCCTTACTATATGATCAGACATTAAGGAAACATGCTATGTTGAAGTGCTGGCTTCTCTAACAACAATGCAGCAGCCAGTATGTCCTCCTTCTAACTTTAGATTCTTCTCCTGAATGCTCTGGATTTGTTTGGACCAGAGAAGGTAGGCGCTTTTAGGGCACCCCACACGGCCATTTTGGACGCCCCTCGGTTTGCCTGATATGAGAGCAGTTATCAGGTCAAACCAACAGGTGTTGCAGCGATGGAAGCGGTCAAGAGAAGTGGTTCAGATAGAAGTGATTGTACCCGACCTAAAAAGCCTCTGCATGTTTCTAATAAGCTCCACGAGCAGAAACGTGCTCAAACTAGGATCAATATTGGAGATGCTTTTGAAAAATGGAGAGAGGTTAGAACACAGAAAGGTTTACAGACCGATGCAGAGCTGGATAAACACTGAAGCTTCAGTGTCCACCACATGGTGACCTGCGTGCACACTGACTCTAGGGAGGAGGGGTCGGGGGGAGACAGCTCTCTACAATGTTTTGTAATGCAGTACCCATTTTAAACACTAGGAGTCAGAGTCACATATTGCTCCTTTAAACATCTTTTTTACCAGTTGAGTTTTGACTTTTATAAATATATACATTTTACTTTTTTTGAAACAGAGTGTAATAAAAGTTCCTGGGACTGAAGATTGGTAGTCCTTGTACTCTTCTGACTGATGTAGTAAAATTGACTCATAGACTTATAATGAAGAAAAGGGTTTAAGTCTGCGCAGGGACAAAGAAGAAGATCCAACACGTACATACAGCAGGAGTGAGGAATAATCGAAGGTGACACATGAGTGAATTTGACTGAATCATAAAATCCCACAGTTGTACTAAGTAAGAGTCAGCTCCTATTGCTGAGCTGAACCCACTGATATGACGCACTGAAAAGAGTCAGTATTACCATCACCATGGTGAAAACATTCTTCTGGCTTCTTAGTGCCCTTCTCTCCTCTTTTACCTTCATATCTATAATGTCACCTGCTGTCAGGGAGCTCTTAAAAAGAGGACACATCAAACTACCCTCCGCCTCCGCTCATATTTCCACACTTCACCTCGCTGATAGCAACAGAATCGTCTCTCATATTGCGTGGGAGTGTCAAATGAACCCATCAGCTGGACGCCAGGGCTCAGAGCGACCCACTACACACACACACACACACACACACACACACACACACACACACACACACACACACACAAAGACACACATTTTCCCTTGTGGATGCCACTATGAGGACTTGGCAGTATGTGGATCCAAAATAAAGAAATATGGTGTTCCTCCCACAGTGGAGATGGAAAAACACTAGCGGCGCTCCATCGATGTTTCCTGCTAACAGCCTGTGACAGCACAAAAAGTCACGCTGACTTTTATCTCCCGCCCCCCAAAAAATGTTTCTTCTTCCTCTACCATGGCCATGTGAGCGTGGCACAGGAGTGGCGTGCTTCTAGTCGGCTGCATCATTAAAAGACGGGGCTAATGATGCCACGCTGACATTTATTGACCCATCTCCCCAGGTAACCGCAGGCCCACTTCTCTTCTTGTTTTCGTGCTGCCATTCCTCTCTGAAGGAAAGAGGTAACACGCGGTGGCATTTATGTGCCCGCCGCTTCCAGTAGATTGTTTTTATGAGTCATAAATCCATTTAAAGAGCTACCATGTAGGGATAAAATATTCCCCAAACAGGATACTTCTTGGGCACATTTGCTCGCGGCTCCTCTTGATAGTCTTGAAATTCAATGTGTTTTACCTTCATAAATATTCTGCAGCGAGTCAGGGAGGAATCTGAAGCTGAAGCTATTGAAATTTAGTGTTTGTGTTTACAATGTGCCACCACTTCCTGGCGTGCAGAGAGGCTGTATAGCCTGTTTAAACAGAGAGATGTTTGAATAGTCTGCATGAAAGGAACAAAAAAAAAAATGTTTGCATCTGGTGAATCTGTGGACATGTGTCCGCCCTCACTCCTCTGCTGGGGGACAGGAGGGTCTGGTGTCTGAAGGGGATGTTAGTGTGCAGGTGCGTGGGTGCAGGGGCAAGCGGCCGCCTGAGCAGGTGGGACCAATGTGACATTTGTGCAGAGAGGCTGTATAGCCTGTTTAAACAGAGAGATGTTTGAATAGTCTGCATGAAAGGAACAAAAAAAAAAATGTTTGCATCTGGTGAATCTGTGGACATGTGTCCGCCCTCACTCCTCTGCTGGGGGACAGGAGGGTCTGGTGTCTGAAGGGGATGTTAGTGTGCAGGTGCGTGGGTGCAGGGGCAAGCGGCCGCCTGAGCAGGTGGGACCAATGTGACATTTGACCTGTTCAGCAGCCCGGGAGGATTTCATCAACTCACCTGGGTGCATATCTCCATCTGTGTGACAGACATCAACATGGAGGCAGGAACAGGCCTGGAGTGTATAGAGGAGAAGGGCAAGAGTGGGCGAGGTCCTCAGCTCTATTCAAACCTTTATTGCAGCAGATGGTGGTTGTAGAGCTGATGCTGCAGCGTGTTTACTCCCAACATAAACCTAGAAGATATGGCAAAAGATATGACCAAGATCTAGATTACGGTCATATTTTTAAATATTTATCAATATCTATAAGAGGACTCTGCTCCTGTAGGTTGTAGCCCTTTAACAAAAACCAGAGGGTTCAGTGGTAAAACTTCTGAATACTCTTGTACCCCACACGGGATGCTGAACGATACAATCAGTTAAAACACTGTGAAGCTGTTGCATGTAATCATGACATCATCTTTAGAGTTTGGATGCTTTTCAAACTGACACATTTTCCACAAAGGTCTTCTCCTCTTCAAGACAAAAGGACCCAATTATTGAAAAACTGTAAATAAAAAACAACTAAAACTGTTTCGCAAGAAGTTTGGGTTATCAGTTGACATCATAGATTAGAAAAAAAAATCTGTTTTTGAAACCACTGTTTTAGTAGTAAGTACTGATCTGGCCAAAATGCATCATGCGAACAAATGTGAGATCAGCACTATGCCAAAATTATAAACCTAAATTACATACCCTAAATATACAGCATGCATCAGACCAGTCTCCCTTGTTTACTGTTTCCTACAATGCAAAGCTCCAGGACAGAGATAGAAATGACGGCCATTAAACAGGGGAAATGATCACAATCAGACCAAACCACACAAAGACACCAACAATTATCTTTTTTGATTCTCAAAATCATTGAAAATCTAAATGAATCTTGTCATCTTTTTTATGGAGAGAAAGTGATGCTACACTGTAGCAGCATTTGAAGTCAGCTGGGCTGTTGGTTACGTCCTCATTCCATAAGTGGAAACCAGCTTAGCCTGGCATACTTCAAAATAACCCCCAACTGGCAGCCATACAACATACTACTGCTGAACACAGTATGTAGAATGAAGTTCATGCTGCATATATGCATTTGATAGCCATTGTCTGACATTGAAAATGGCATCAGTCAACCTAGGAACAGGAAAGAGGCGGAGCTTCTGCCTTCAGTTTCACAGCTACAGCGTGTCTGCCTGTCAGTCAGACCAGCCATCCCCAGTTTTGCATAACTCAGCCATATAACTTTGCCCTTCTGCATTGTCTTCATATTTCAACCACAGAGTTGTAGCCTTTGTTGAATAAAGGAGGGGCTGCTGGCTGCCGCTAACATTAACATTAACATGTATTTTCAACTTGTTTTTTTAAATCTGTGACTTTTAGTGTCCTCCTCTCCTTTAAAACAAATGCACACAGGAAAAAAAACCCCAATAAAAATTCAATTTGAAATGCTCTTTGATAGTTGTAAAATTTCATGTATGGGGGCTGCAAGCTGAGCAGCTTTTAACATCCCTATAACAGACATCGAGTTATCATTTCTTGTCAGTTGTTTCCTCCTCTTTAAGAATGATAGGAGTTTACTTTCACCTTTGTGTTTTGTTTCTCTTCATGAAAGCCATCTTCTTTTTTCAATGGCACCAAAAATAATGCTTAATAGTGGGTGTGTATCCAACCTGTGTATCATATATACGCTATAAAACTGCACACAAGCTTTATTTTGGGTATACTTTCAGGTTTTAAATCAATCAACATTGAGTTAAATGTGCTGGGTTTATCCTGGGAAAATTATATCCCCTATTGAGATAGCTTCACCTCCCTGCTCGACATTAACCTAGTTATATGTAAGCCGTTAAATAAAGGTGGGGGGAACTCTGGAGAGAAGGCCAGGAGGGGATATATACCGCCTCTGAGATCAGTCTGAGAGCTTCCAGGGTTACAGTCTGTGTAATATTGGAGCCCAGATGGGGAAAACAGAACTCTGCACGCTGCTGCACAGACGTTTTCTCCATGGACCCACAATCCCAGATTGGATTAAACAAACTGAGGCTGAGGTGGAAAAGCGAAGGAGAAGCCCCTGTTGTATTCAGACGGAGCGCAGTGAGGGACTTTTTAAGACAGTTTTACTTGTGATTGGCAGAGAAATTGTGCCGTGAAATAAATTCAAGGTTATTTCTTCTTCTTCATTTCTGGAGAAAAGGGTAGACTTCTGGCAGAGAATAAATCATGAACATTTGTTGAGTCCCTGACTGATTGATTCAGCCCAGCAGTGTGAGAGGTACCCGCTCCTTTCATCCTCTTTTCGAGACACCCCTGTTACATTGTGCAGCTTCAGTCCCAGTCAACACCGCGTGATGACAATCTCTCCTGTCTTTCTCCTCATCCTCCCCTCTCTGTGTCATCCTCCCACAAAACTCCACGGGTCATTTTATGGACACAATGTTCCCTTTTTGTGATGTCTAATTGTCTGCGAGAATATTAACATTACATGTGTAATCCTTTTGACACATATATTACAAATGGAGGGACCATTTCTTCATAGAATGAAAAGGCAATTTACAGGAGGCAAATTGGATGATGGCAGGCAGATTTGTAATGCCACGGGTTAGGTGGCGTAATGGATTTCGGTTGCCACCAGACTGTGAGATGAGTGTCATTAGCCGGTTGCCCTGGAGACACAGAGTCATAAAAATAACTTCTTCGAGGCAAAACGCCACATTTTTATGTAATTCAATTTGAACTTGTGGCTCTCTGCTTGTCAGAAATACACCCCCGCACACGTTTACACATTTAGCCTGTCAACAGTTTTACAACAACTCAGAAATTAAAGAGATAACTTGATTTGTTTGTGTCTTGTTTTTGTACACAGGATACACTGCCAGAAGCTTCCACACCAACTGCTGTGGTCTCTGTTTCCCAATACGCCTGCCAGAGACGGACAACCACAGAAAACAACAACAAGACTTTCACGGTAAGGAACTGTTTTCTCTCCTCGCTCCAGACACACCTGCACTGACTTCTCCACACTGCAGGCTGTCCCTTCTGTCTTTGCGATGTAAAACGCCCCTAATCAGCTGTGCTCTAATTGGATGGCCGGCTTGCTTCACTCGTCAGCGCTCTGACACAACTCATCCCAAAATGCATTAACCTGCAAATGAGCAGCATCTGCAGCTGCAGGAGTAACAGCTGACATGCCCACGGTCCCTGGCGCTGAGGGGTCTGGCAGGGACACGCCCTGAGGCGCCTCGCGCTACGCCAAGGTAGCTGATCGACGTGACACTCCTCACAAGCAATGATGGATCTGTCCCTCTGCCATCTGCTGGGTGGTGCTGGAGGGAGGGCGGAGGGAGAAGTAGCTGTGGAGGGGACACTCAGGTTTAGAATAGGGGAGTAGTCTGTCAGCGGGGGGGTACAGGTGTGGATGTACATTACATTTATATTATAAGAGGAAGAGGAAGGATTCTATCTATCTATTCTAAGTGCAGACTAACTCCTGCAGCCTAAGGTCGCAATCACACTAGGCAATCTGTACCGTGCACGAGCTCGCTTAACCCCTAAAGTCCAGTTCGTTTGACCAGTGCGAGTCACTGCTCAAGCACACTTCCTTGTCCCTGGCATGCTTGGAAGAGGTGTGCTTTGGCGTGGTACAGTTCATGCATGAGCACAAGTACGGGTAGACAACGTTGACAGCCTTCATTGTCGATAAATCCTGCAGTGTTCGGTCTGTTTCTGACTGAAATGACTCAAAATAAGACACAAAGTCAGTAAAGTAGCTGTCATGTTCTCTGTGTCGTTCTCCGATGTATGGATTCGGTCCCAGCAGCGTGTCCCTTTATTGTTTTTTTTCCTCTTCAGTCCGCCTATATTGTAAAATAAGCACGCTTCATGGTTACGTAAAACCATGCATGTGTTGTATTGTTTGCCTGCAGAACACAAGAAATTACTCAATAATGGATGCCTAGGTGTTTTTTTTCTTCTTGCTGTGGTATAGAAAAAGGTATCCATATCACTAGATTTTTACTTGTATCATATTGAAGTTTAAAATTCTGACATTGTGACTACCCTAACCCCAACCAGGACATCTGGGTTATTAGGAATCAGAAGCAGGTTTTTATATCCAAGTACTTTTACACATACAAGGACATTTTAAGGTGCAACAACAAGGAACACAGATGTAGAAAAATCTGTAAGTGTGTGTATCCTATGAGTGAAGCCGTAGCTTGACGCTCAAAAAATTCCCTCTTCCATAATCAACATCCAAAAAATCCACAGGACAACTCGATAAAAGTTAAACTGTTCACTTTGACAAAAAAACAGATGCAGAATAATCTGAAATATTTGAAACGAAACGAAAGAGAGAAAGAGTTCAAAAGACTGTGTAGCTCAACTCCTCCCCTTCCTAGATGCCCTTTTTGGGGTTCGTATATTTAATCTATGTACCTACTTTTGTACGTTCACAATAGCTAAAGTTTGAAAAAAGTGTCTGTTTTCATGTACTGCTCCTCCTTGCTCCCTCTACACTCTGAGTCCGTCAGCTACACTCTGCTGAGCCCACACTGTTAGACCTCACGTGGGCCAAGTCTGCTCTGATTGGTCTGCCGATCCGCTCTGTCGTTATTGGTCAGTTGCTCAGCACGCTTCTCGGAAATTTCAACTTGAGCTGCAGGGCTTGCCACAACGAGCCAATGGGCTTAGATCAGTGATCTCACACTGACAATGACGTCAAGGGGGGCTAGAACCGAGCGTTACATGCAGCTAATGCTACAGCTAACAGGAGGAGGTTGGAGAAGCCGCGTTTCCGCGGACTCTTAAATTAAGAATATGTCCAATAGGTGTACTGGAGGAGCTGTAAAGTTGTGCACAAATCAGCAAGATGTCAGTGAGTGTAAATATCTGATCTTACAGAATAACTTCTAGAGACGGCGTGAAATGCAAACAAACAGTCCTCAAGTTGATCATTTATCTCTTCCTGTCCCCCCCGAACAGCCATCATAGGAGTGATTAAAGTATATCGGCACAGAGGGAAAATAAAAAACAGATATTTCTTTTAAATCTATAGGACTGCTGTGACTTACATTACTTACATCACTAAAATAACAAAACAGAGAATATATGCAGAAACACATCAGGTGAGCTCCTCTGTTTGTTCTATCTTGGGGGCAAAGTGTTGAAGCCACAGAATATAGAAGTGGAGGTCTGAGGTGTTTATTCTGTGTGTGCGTGTTTGTGTGTTTGTGTGGGAGTGTAGGGACCCGCTGATGAGTTTCTGTAAGACCTATTAAGCACAGCTTAGCGAGGGCCTGTGAGGCGTCGGTTTCATAATGACTTTTTAGCTCCCAGTGACGGTAAACATACATAATAGATGCACACACGTGTACTGAGACTCACCCACATGTGCTCGCATGCATGCATCTTCCACATGGATGGACACGTATGGATGTGCACAAACACACACACACATGTTTCACCTGGGGAGAAGCTGCTGTTCACTTTCTTTCCCCTGGTTTCTTTTCGCAGCATTGATTCCATAATTAGCAATCCCACTCAATTTCCCTATCCCCATGATTAAGTCATTATCCCCACATAAAGCCACTTCAAAGAAGACTTTCCGATTAGAGAGAGGTTGTTGGAGGAAGCCACAGGTAGAACATTCCCCTGAGGCAGATCAAATGCAATTACTTGAACTATTTGACTCTGATATAGATGGAAATATGATGTGTGGCCTCGCTCTTCGAATGTAAACCAGGAGAAATGTGCAACAGTAGACGGATAGACACAGGATATGATCGACTGCAGTGTGGGACATTGCTAATGAGGGGCGGGTTATTGATCCTCCATGGTGAAGCTCTATCCTTGATCCGTCCCGCTGTCTGCTTGTTTGCCAGGCACAGTATTGATGGAGGGAAGGAGCTCTGAGGATACTTTAACATATGTTTTCATGTTTGAGTTTAGGAATTCATGTTTCTAGTGTCCATGCATTTTTTTATGTGGCAGCACAGTTAATGGTTTATCATATCACCTCTCTTTCATCAAAGTTTGTAGGAAAACAAAAACAAAGCTGTTCTCTTCAAGAAAAAATGCTGATTTATTTCAAATTTGACATTCCTAGTAGGACATTCTTAATTTACGTGTATGCTGCAGTTATACTGGCCTGAAGTCTGTGTCCTTGCCAACATGTCATGCATGTCACAGTGTTGGTAAATAGCCAGGTATGGATTCCTGTTCCTCGTTCATTGACGCTGTTGATAACATGTTTGAAAAGTTCATTAATGTTACTCATTAGAAAATCAGTCGTCAGTTGACAGCAGTGTAGTGACGAGCAGTATGAGGAAGAAACATGCCTAACATATAGTCTGTGCATAAAAAGAGATTGCTGCATTCTTTTTCTTAATGCTTAATTATCTTAAAAGCATACCAGCAGGGGGCGACGCCAATGGTTGTTAAGACAAGTGGGGTTGCATTCACACACTGAGGTAACTAATCCCATACATACACATTCATACGCTGCTGACAAAGTAGCGGCAGCAACTTGCCCAAGGACACATTGGACATGTTGCTGCAGGTTGGGGATCGAACCCCTGACCTTCCGGTTGAGAGACGACCGACTCTACCAACTGAGGCCCGGAGAGAAGTAGTTATACTAAGAAGTAGTAAAATCCTTAAACTGCTCCAGATAATCAATGTTAAATACAATATGATATACATGATAAAAATAATAAGTCCAAGTGATAGTGAAAGTAAAATAAATATTACACGTGGTATTAATAAGCATAATGGATCTGTAGTTTTGCACATGGCCCCTAATATTGAACAAATATAACTGTGAGCTATAGTTGATGATACAGGTCAAAGTGTCAGATACATCGATCTGTCACTCAATCTTTTCATGAGTCAGTTGGTCTCATAAAAATTGATCAATTTTCACCCTCATCAAAACCTGCTTTATTTTACAAACACAGCCAATTAGTTTGACAGTGATGTAATGAATTGAAGCAAACACCCAGCAGGATTGAACAATGTGTATGTGACTGTAGGCGCACCGCTGTGTTTTTTTCAGCGCAGCTTGTTATTTGTGCATTAAAGTGAATTGGACAGACGGAGGAAGTGTCGCGCAAACATCCTGCGCTGATGTCAGGAGGGAGGAGAGGAGCATCCGGGGGGCCAGCAGGGTGTGCTGGGTGAGGCAGGAGGGAGAAGGAGGTGATGCAGAGAGAGAGAGGTGTCAGGATCAGGAAGAGCGGATGAGCATCATCTCAGCAACAGCACCCAGTGAGGTGTCAATCACACACCGCCAGCAAGCGGCCCTTCATTCCACAGCCACGCACTATTGATTTATTCATCCCTGCTCCCTCTTTATCCCTCACCCTCTCTGCCTCACACTCTTTCACTCCTCTATCACTCCTCCCTGCTCTCCTGTATGCTTTAGCACCCAATCACCCTCATCTACCTATTCCTACTGTGCTCTCTCTCTCTCTCTCTCTCTCTGGTTCTCTCTCTCTCTCTCTCACTGTTGTCGTGTCTCGCTGCGACCAGGAAATCCACACCGTCTTTGTGCAAGTACACACACAACTCCTCAAGTCAACATCCCCTCCCCCCCCATTTTTTTTAATCTGCTTAGCCATGAGTCTGCAGCTGCCATCATTTCACCAAAAGCCTGACGTACACGAACACAAAAATGGACATTTGTGTCTCGGCTGATTGACGCGCAGCATCGAACGCCTTTTCTCTGATGGCAACTCGAACAAATCCACACACGGACCAACATGTGAATGCACACACACTTTGCAAGACTAATGAGGGGAAAGAGTAAGTGAGAGGAAGCGGAAGAGAGAGAGAGGTTGGAGAACATGGACGAGGGGGGTTAAAGTAGCTCTGAATATTGAGTGAATTAAACTGATTCCTCTCCAAGCTGAAGTGGAGTAAAGATCTGCCACTTAAAGAGGAACAAAAAATTGTTGAAGGGAAGATTTA